TATTTTTCGTCCGGGGGGCCGTAGGCCCCGAAAGTCCCCTACTGGAGCACAGGACGTGCTGAGCTAGAGAAATCGGAACATATCTACACGCTAATTACAGGAATGCTATTGGCCATAGAGGATTAGTCATTCGCCACGCGAAATTAGTCTTTCTGTCGCAGGGTAGGCATTAGTAATCTAGCTATATGCTTTAAGTAACTGTGCGGGATGGAATACCCCGCACAAGAGATAACTTAAGACAACAATCAACATATTTTTGCTGCTGCTCAACACATTTTACTTTAACCCTTTAAGCACGCTCAGTGCGACACTTTCCTATGGCGTCCAATTTCTGCAAACGTCGTCACTCAAGGCGATCGTACGACCGCGACAACAGTCCGGCCAGGTCACCATCCGTCAGATCTACGAGCACGTCGAGCGACTGAGAAAGGGAAATAACAGAGTTAAGATGATGTGGGTCCCATCCAGAGCCGATGGCCTCAGCATGAACCTGGAAGCAAAGAGACAAGCCAAGAAGGCTACTAGAGCAGAATGCTCGCCGCAATCGCTACCGTTTCAGGCCCGCTCTACCCGGCTCAGGCTTACAGCAGCACAGCTACATCAACGGCGGAGACTGCCTGATAGTGTAGGGAACTACTCGAAGCGAATAGATCGAGCTCTACCAGGCAAACATACGCAAGCACTATACGACAGCTGCAAGAGACGAGAAGCCGGCGTGCTCTCGCAGCTTCGTACGGGAATGGCGAGGATCAATAGCTACCTAAGCAGGATTGGAGCCGTAGAGTCGGACATGTGTGAATGTGGATGTGGACCAGAGACGATGGAGCATTTCCTGTTCCGATGCAGTAGATGGGAAGCAGAGCGTCAGGTCATGCGACAGATTGGACAAGATATGATCGGCAACCTTTCCTTCTTCCTGGGAGGAAAGTCGGCATCGGACGGAACAAAGTGGAGACCTAACCTAGAAGCGGTGCGAGCGACGGTCAAATTTGCGATGGCAACGGGAAGATTGAGCCAGGAAGGAGTTTGAGAAGGAGAAAACAAAAGATTATTAAACATTAACATCACAGTTAACTACTGACAACAGCCTCAAGTTGACAGACCATGCTCCAGCTGCTGAAGATAGGACGCTGAACACTTGGAGATATTTTAGTCGGCCTTCAAGCAGGCCTGTCAAACAGAGTCAAGCAAACGGGGCTAGAAAAACAAAGGTTGGGAAGAGCAGTAGGGCTTTCTTTTGTGCAGAAATGGACGAAAAGCGGGGACATGTGAATAGCTGAGCGTAGACGCAGGCCCTATGAGACCTGTTCTCCCGGGCGTAATAAACACTACCTACCTACCTACCTAACCCGGCCCACCTTATCCCTGTTATTACAGCGGTATGAGCGGGGTACTAAAAGCTTCTGCTTCCAACCTTTCATAGCCAAATTATTATACAGTTCATGGCGATTCAATCAAATGAATACCTCTTCAGATCCCGATCAAAGGCAGGAGGTCGATTCCTATAATGACAAGAGCTTCTGCGAGCAACACAAGGGCCCCCACACGGGCCCTAAGGAGCCTGCCGGGCCTAATGATTTTCCGGCCGATGAGTCCCGCAGGGATGCCGAGTGCAGTTGATAATTGATTGTTATTAATAACCCCTTGCAGTCGAAGGGCCTTTGAGGCCTTATATCTTCGACTGATTCATTCTAGGACTTGAGTCCTAGAGTCCTAGAGTCCTAGATGACAGTCCTACGATTTAAGTTTTAGGACGTCAAAATTTAACTTTAATCTTGAACCTTAACCCTGAAGTTGAGGGGGAACCATAAATTCTTCCAACAATACCCCACACAGAAGATAGAACCAGTCAACTCACTACTGCTGCTCATTATGAATGACGCGACCTTCAATCCATTTTAAGCACATCCCAGTGCGACACATTACATTAGAGCGGCAATCCTAAAGCGGCCACATAACAAGGATCTAATTCGGCTAGACCGGCTGCTTCAGTGCGCCACAGAAACCGGCATTTCGACAGGGACGTCGATTCTGCAAGGACGGCAACAGGGACGGCACTTCGAAGTCAACAGCTCCTTGACATTAATGGTGCTTCGGCAGGGAATTTTAGATTGCTGTGATGGTTGGAAAGACTCTACGCTCCGTCTCATAGATATATAGCTCCCCTTTGAGGGCGGAGCCCATAATGAGGCCGAGTTATTTGCACATTGATTCAGGACTGATCTCTCCTCAGCTGGTCTGCAGTGCCTTGCTGATGTCGATGGCTGCTTTAGTACCTCCAAAAACCCTCAAACTTATTGCACCCCACTGTAAGAGTTTATAATCCGTGTCCTCTTAGAAAACTTAATTTAGTATAACCCCGAACAGGTTTTGCCGATGTGTGTTGGAAAACTGGGAATCCCTCTCATCTTCAGGATTCAGACTGTTAGTCTGAAAGTCCTACATTTAAAGTTCAAAGTCCTAGATAAAATCAACTAGAGACATAAACCCGAGAAGAACTCTCATCTCAACAATGAAAAATCAAGTTTCATAAAAATATACTTTTGCCCAGTACTACTGCGCAATACAGTGGGATGCATTAAGTTTGAATACCGG